TGTAATTAAGTGTCCGGTAGAGTTCGAAGACAGACCTTGGAGTCACTGACAGCCCCAGGCATGATAGGTAGGGTAAGTAACAATCATAGCAACTCTGTTTGTAAAACAATATCCTTCGTACAAAAACAGTATTCTTCCTCTTTTTAACAAGTGATATTTTAACTAACATTCCTATAAAAAATGTTATGTAATGTTCTAATTTAAAATAAAATAAGTTTACTCAGGGGCAGGCTTAAACTATTTTCTGATTCACATTTTGAACATTGCTTTTGTTTATTCATTCAATCATAAATGTTTATTTAATTGATATGAACTAGTTTTAAATCATTACTAGAGGCTTATAAGACATAAGTCCCTAAAAAGCTCAATGTAAATAAACAACTTATTGCAATTCCGGTATTTAAACAAACTCAGAATAACATCATCTATGTGTCAGGATAGGTACACCGTATCTTTTTTGTAAAAACCTGTTTGTTGTGCGTCTTTTGTTTGCTTTATTTGTTGATGTTATTTTCAATAAATAATTTGAATCACTCCAGAGGTTTAACATGAAAAGGCAGCAAACATAACATTTTTTGTGAATAAATACTGGTTTACTAAGTAAGCTTTGGTCTTGGGGTTAATGAGGATAAATAAAAGCTTCCCTGATTGGAATTTTAGAAATTGTCTTTGTCAAATAAATAATAAAAGGCAAATATAGGTGTTTTGTGATAAGCGTATTTCTTGGTCAAAACCACTAAATTATGCCAGCTATTATTTCTAAGTTTATACTCCATTAGTTAAGGTTTTAAAAAAATAGTGTAAAGTAAAGGCATCCCATTGTCCAAACTTAACCCTAGATTTGTTTCTGATCAACATAAAAAAAAACTAAGTTTACGTGGTGGTATTCCTCTTAAAGGCGGGAAGCGAGCTGGCGTAGTGGTTAGAGCGCGGGACTTCAGTCCCTGAGGTCCCGGGTTCGATCCCCACCAAGTCACTAATGGATTTTATCTAAGTGATAATGCCGCAACCACTAGGTCTAGCCCGAAATAATGAGAAAAACAATCCCAGGCTCGTACCCAGCGTCATAGGATAAAAAATCCTCTTAAAGGTGCGATTGACTTTACATACGCTATCAAAATAGGCCTAATAATCGGCTGATTCCTAGTTATTTTGCGACTGGTTAGGGCTTCATTACCAAGTTAACGAAACCAAATAACGAAATTTATTTTCATCTGTATCTTTGACATCAATTTTTTTGGTTAGTTTAAAGAAACCTGTACCTCTAGGTTTTACTATAAGGATGTTCCCTTTACCACCGTGCATGCTAGGCTATGCTATATTATTTTAACCTTTTTTGCTTGGAGTAACAGGCAGTACCTGGTTAAAATATCCTCCAAATAATATTGTTTTTCCTCCCATTGGAGCTTGTCATAGTAGTACTTACTTGAATAAATATATTGCCTGTACGAACCTATTCCCTCTTTATTCCCAGGTTTTCTTCTCAGAGTGGCCGTTGAGGTTATTCCACTTCGTACAACATTTTGATTAAACATTAAATCTCAAATTTAAAATGTTTAAAATGTATATTGTATCATTATCGTATACAATACATTGCAGAATTGACTGGCAAATGAGTAATCCAAATATAATATTGCTTACTGTTAAGTGATAAATCACGATCAGCTGTATTGAAGTAAACAAATATCAGCACTAAATGGCTTCTAATGCTATTCTTATGGAGAAAATTTTACGTTATATCTAATTTTGTGTTAACACTTTGGGAATCTCACTATTTTTCTCGCCGTCACGGGTTCAAGCACGTTCAAGGCCTTTAATTTGAGCCCTCTCCGTCGTTCTACGACTTCCCAGTCGTCCACAATTTTGACGCAAAGAATCGGCTTAATTCAGAAATGAGCAAGAATAAGATTGATAAATAAACCAGCACTGGTTTTGCCAGCTCGAATCTATATTTAGAATATCTATAACATAAATATACATTATAACGTAAATATAAGTAGTTGTTGTTTCAATGAAGTGAAGTGTATGGGGGAATAATTAATTTAATTTTGTTTATAAAATAATATGGATTTTGGTACCACACATGCACTTCTCTGAGTCAAACATCGTGTATAGTATGGCCAGTATACGTTTGTTCTGGTGAAAGATTGCTTCTTCAAAGTTTTGAAGAAGAACCTAATTAGGTTTTCAGAGTTCAAAGTTTTACTCATACACAATTTACATTCAAATTAAAGTGGTTAATAAGTCAAAAGACATGCACCAAAGAAAGAGTTGATTAAACAAAACAAAATAAAAGGAGAAAATAACGAACATTTCTACATGACTTTAAACGAATACTGAACATTAGTTGTAAGCTTCAAGCTGTCTTTCTTCGTATTTACTTGCAGATTACCTTTTTGAACCAATAATACTATTCTCATAAAACATGTTTTCATTGCCTGTTTTACTTCCTATAAATTAATTCACTGACCTCAGGTAAAATTGCTGCATAAAATCAAGTAGTAAAAAATATCCCCTTACATAAATGCTGTAAGGTATGTCAAAATATCAATTCCAATGTTTCTCAACATGACCTCCATCCTCATGGTTATTTCACCTCGTGATCTTTGGTCTTCTAATCTTCGTTTTTCTCACTCCGACCGTAGCTTTATCCGACGGTTATATAACCAAAACTCCAATCTAAATTTTAAAAGTCATGGGTCTCTCAATTGCCGATTGAAGCATTATTTCACGCATTTACTAAGTAATCTCTAAAAGTAATTTATCAGCTACACATTCCAAAATCATCATCTTATGATGCAAAAATGGCTTAATACTCTGCCGTTGATCCAAACAAATAATACCACCTAATAATAATAGATCAGCATAGTCGAAAGATAATATTCAATTTCAATATTGAATATTAAAAAACCAAGTCAAACGTAGGAAATGACTTATGATTAGTCATAGCAACTGTTATGACCCCTCAACCTGGTCAGCAACAACACCACGACCACCCACTACAAGCGCATTCTGTGACTGGCTCACACAATAGCTGGTCAGCACCAAACACCACGACCACCCACTACAAGCGCATTCTGCGACTGGCTCACACAATAGCTGGTCAGCACCAAACACCACGACCACCCACTACAAGCGCATTCTGTGACTGGCTCACACAATAGCTGGTCAGCACCAAACACCACGACCACCCACTACAAGCGCATTCTGCGACTGGCTCACACAATAGCTGGTCAGCACCAAACACCACGACCACCCACTACAAGCGCATTCTGCGACTGGCTCACACAATAGCTGGTCAGCACCAAACACCACGACCACCCACTACAAGCGCATTCTGTGACTGGCTCACACAATAGCTGGTCAGCACCAAACACCACGACCACCCACTACAAGCGCATTCTGTGACTGGCTCACACAATAGCTGGTCATCACCAAACACCACGACCACCCACTACAAGCGCATTCTGTGACTGGCTCACACAATAGCTGGTCAGCACCAAACACCACGACCACCCACTACAAGCGCATTCTGTGACTGGCTCACACAATAGCTTGTCAGCACCAAACACCACGACCACCCACTACAAGCGCATTCTGCGACTGGCTCACACAATAGCTGGTCAGCACCAAACACCACGACCACCCACTACAAGCGCATTCTGTGACTGGCTCACACAATAGCTGGTCAGCACCAAACACCACGACCACCCACTACAAGCGCATTCTGTGCCTGGCTCACACAATAGCTTGTCAGCACCAAACACCACGACCACCCACTACAAGCGCATTCTGTGACTGGCTCACACAATAGCTGGTCCATATGAATGGGAAGTCTAATAGGGCAAATGTAAAAACTAAAATTATGTATGTTTGCGTGTTCTTTAACTTTCGTTTGAACAAACCTTTTTGTAATTCAACTGGTTAGTGAAATAGGGTCAAAAAAGTGAAATTGGACGCCATGGCGGCCGTAGCACAGCATGTACGAATGTTGATTTTTAATATATTTTACTGGGTACTAGAACTACACATATGCAAAGTTTACCCGTTAAGGAAATTATATCCATGTAGAGGGGAATTTTAACTAATATGAGGACTATATAATGTAGTAAACCAGAAAAAATGTAAAACCTTACAGTTTGGTTTGAGGTAACCGTTTCAATGTACTAGCATTTTTGTCGGAAAATTTGACTTTCACTCATCACGACTTTAACTTGTTTACTTCTACTATACTTTTATTTATTTATTACATGCACGGCAAACGCCATTTTACAAGAGTGTTGAGTTAACACTGATAATTAATTTAATACTTACATAGTTATTATTTTTCTACTATATTATATGAGTTTGACTAGCTGTACCCGCGGGCTTTGCCCCGTTTAACTTCATAAGTGAGCTCGTTCGCATGGCTCAATCACGTCCTGGTTGAAGTTCGTTCGCTACGCTCACTCACTTTTAGGTTAGAGCTCGTTCGCTACGCTAACTCGCCTCCAGGTTGAAGTTCGTTCGCTACGCTCACTCACCTTTTGGTTGCAAATTAGCTGTTGTCATAAATGTAAAAGAAATAATAGTGCTGCACCCTGTTGGTAATCATTGTAACATTAATGCTATTGAACATCATAGAACAGAACCAACTTGTTTAATTGAAACAGCTGTTAAGATTCATTAATTCCATTTAAATATGAGTACTCAAGGTTAACATGGGAAACTCCAGAGCCACTGGGGCGGAGCCCAGAGGTCGGAGGGTAAAATCCTTTCTTAGTGAGCGTCTACTACCCAAAAGGAAGATGCCTGCCAAGTTTCAGGATCCTAGGTCTTATGGTTTCTGAGATTTCGTGAAGAGTGAGTGAATGAGTCAGTGGTATTTGAGCTTTATATAATTACTTGAGGAAGAGCCAACATTGACTTGAGATCTCAGTTGAAACATCTTGAATTTAGTTTCAAAGTTGTTTTGCAGCTGATTTTGTTATGTTATTAAAGTTATTACTTAACCTATCTTGACTAAAGTATTAAAAAACATGGGCAATTAATTCACTTATCATTTTTCCCCAAAATGAATCCTCATATAATAGGACAAACCATATTCAGTCTAGTATGCAATGCAACGTGTCAAGGAGTTGCTGGGTGGATCTGTTGAACTGGATCGTATTCCCGATTACGGGCCCTTGGACCTACCCGAATACAGCAAGTTTTTGGAGGAGACTAAAACTCAGTTCTACACGAGGTGGAACGATTTACTAAGTAAGAAAGAACAACCTATAAACCTGCAATACAACGGGTATTCTTTAGACGATTTCCAGAGAATTAAATTAATAGGAGCGGGCAACTTTGGTAACGTGTACCTAGTGAGCAACATAAAGACTGGAGCGTTCCACGCGATGAAATCAGTCCTGAAAACGACGGTCGTCCGGCTGAAGCAGGTGAACAACGCGCGGACGGAGAAGTTAGTCCTGCAATGTACGACGTGTCCCTTCACCATCAGACTCGACTACTTTTTCAAAGACAACAGTTACTTGTACTTCGTCTTGCCTTTTGTGCGAGGAGGAGATTTGTTTCGGCATCTTCAGCGGTCGAACCAACTGAGCGAGCTTTCGGCAATGTTTTACCTCGCTCAAGTGATTCTGGCTATAGAATATCTCCATTATATGGACATCATCTACAGAGACTTGAAGCCAGAGAACGTTCTGATCGATCACACGGGCTACATTAAGCTAACAGATTTTGGTTTCTGTAAGCGCCTGACCAGAGGCAGGACCTACACGATCTGCGGCACTCCGGACTATATCACGCCTGAGACTCTCCGCAGTGAGGGGTATGGCAAGGGGGCGGACTGGTGGGCCGTGGGGGTGCTCGCCTACGAACTCACCGTCGGAGTCCCTCCGTTCAAAGACAAATCCGACTCTAAGCGCTATTTTAAGATAGTCTCGGGCAAATACAGTTTACCTCCTCCATTGAGCGAGGAGCTTAAGGATCTTATATCAAACGTGTTGCAAATAGACAAAACAAAACGATTCGGAAACATGAGTAAAGGTGTAAATGACTTCAAAACTCACAAGTGGTTCAAGCCTCTGAACTGGATGGCTGTGGCTTGTAGGAAGGCCAGTCCCCCGTTCACACCTGACGTGGACGCTGAGAATGATACAAGACACTTCAAAGACCTGACTCACCGCTCACTCAGGGTTGCCGATCATGTGGAATGTGGTCAAGAATTTGCCGACTTCTGAATACATTTTGTTCGTTGTTAAAAATCCTGGTAAGTTAAACCTATTCATAATAAATAAATAAATACTACAGGCTTATCAATTTACCTACATAAGTTTACCGTTCTGAATGCAGCTGTTATGGCGTAAAACGATTACCTAAACTAATTCGTTAAGTTTCAATAATTATTATTATAATCAGTTTGTATGGTACTAATGTAAAACAAACAACTACAATCGTTTTTATTAAGCACAGGTTTTGTCAAAACAAAAAAGGTTTTCAGTATGCGAATATATTCATATTTCCACCAACCTGCAATGTGCTTGCTTGTTTGCTTGTCTATGCAATGTTTCTTTCAGTGAAAGTATACCTTTAAGTATTAATAACTCGAGATCTTATGAACAATCCACTAAAAACCTAAGAGTATTCATGCTGCCTGTCTTTGCTTCTTGCATCATAACTAAGCTTGGAATATTGTTTATAAAAACGAGGATTAAAAGGGCAACTATGTTGTTAACATTGGTCCTGTAGTTTTTAGTTTATGGGTAGTAAAAAGCAACCGCCCTCAACTCCATTGCAATAATTTGTGCTCCATTCGACCCAGTTCAAGTTGTACGACACGCTTCAATCCTAATTCAGAACATTAGATCACTAATTGCTGCGGACACAACTACGATAATGCTTACCGTTAATTGCTCAGTTTTTGCCCGAATGACATGTGTGCTGAGTACAGATATGCTCATTACAGTGTTTGTAGGAGTGCGGCACGCCGTGCGATTGTTGGGCTACATTCATTTGTTTCGTGACGATAGAAAACTCGAGGAAAATGTAGGAATTAGCTCCGGCTCGGTTGCGATAGGTGAAACCGAGAATCGGCAGCCGCGTATGGTATAAATAACGAACTAGATAAGACCTTGTAGCTTGTTATACAGGGTGAATTTTAAATGAGTCCCCCCCCCTACTTTTTTCTACATTTCTTAAGATATCAACTTCGGACCACGTCAGATCATTGTAGTGTAGTAAGTACTACATTTTGACTGGATAAACATTTTTGGCCGCCATCTTGGATCCGCCATATTGGATACAAAACTTTTTTTTCAAATGTAAAGGTAGGGTTGTGACCCATTGTTTCAAACAAGAATTTTACGTTGATTACACTGCCGCAATTAGTTTAAAAAAAATCTTGATCCGTTCTAAAGTTATGAGGACTTTTTATAACTTTATTTTTAGCCCATTTTAACATTGTGCATTTACAAACTAAGACCATAATCTCAAAATAGTGCTAGATAAAGATAAGTATACACCACCATTCATTGTCGACCTATTATCACTTGGTAATGACGGATTAATTTTTTTCGGCCGCCATCTTGGATCTGCCATTTTTAAATGTGATAAATTAATTTAAATATGAAGGTGGTGTTGTGACCCATCATTTTGAACTACTTTTTAATGCTGAACTCAATGCCACAATCCGTTTTGTTTCTCAGGCTTTCTTGATGAAATATTAAAATTATCTTACTTAAATTTCCAATATTTCAAAAAACAAATATGAAAATGCAAAACGGATTGAGGCATTAAATTCAGCATAAAAAAGTAGTCTGAAATGATGGGTCACAACACCACCTTCATATTTAAATTAATTTATCACATATCAAAATGGCAGATCCAAGATGGCGGCCAGAAAAATAAATCCGTCATAACCAAGTGATAATAGGTCGACAATTAATGGTGGTGTATACTTATCTTTATCTAGCACTATTTTTGAGATTATGGTCTTAGCTTGTAAATGTATAATGTTAAAATGGGCTAAAAATAAAGTTATAAAAAGTCCTCATAACTTTAGAACGGATGAAGATTTTTTAAAACTAATTGCGGCATTGTAATCAGCGTAAAATTTTAGTTTGAAACAATGGGTCACAACCCTACTGTTGGATTGGGAAATGGTAAAATTAAGATTATAAAAAAGAAACCATGTTGACTTGAGCAATAAAAACAATGTAATAAAAAAGTAAACAGAAAGAAATAATAACATATGATAAATAAATATACACATGTTAAATGCAGATCAAGGGGGAAAAGTCTTGAACATACTGCCCGCCTTAAAGCCACAAAGGGCTTTAACAAAGAATTTTCTAGTCAAGTGGCAAAGGAAATACTTTTATCGCTGGACGGGTCAGGTGTCCTGAAGACATCTTGAGGCTCACAACACGGACGATCCCATCCTTTCCAGGATGGATGCCCGTCATACGGGCAAGAGGCCAATTGAGTGGTGGAGAAGTCATGCTTTTTTTGGAGAGATGAAATTTCTTCTGCAAAGGTGGCTTGTTGAACATGATGAAAGATCTTGAGTTGAGCTTTGGAGATTTCAGACGATGAGAGAGGACCACTGAGACGGTCATTTTGATGACGACAATTGTGGATGAAGCGGTTAAGAAGAGCGACAATGCGTTGGAGTTTGTTCCACGATGAGTAGTCAGAAAGAAGTTCCCACTCCTTTTGAGGAACTGATGTAAGAACAACTACAAGTGTCTTCTTGATTTCTTCTGACGAAGATAGGTCCTCAGGAGTGAAGTGCGAGGTAGGCCAACAACAAGTGGGGAGCTTCAGCCAAGGAGGGCCTGTCCACCAAAGCGGATGGTTGACAAGTAGGGAAGCAGAAATTCCTCTTGACGCACAGTCTGCAGGATTATCAGTACTTAATATGTGTCGCCAAGAGTCGATGGGAACAAGTTCTTGAGTTTGAGAAACCCTGTTGGCTACATATGTCTTGAGTTTGTAGGGTGGAGTCCATAACCATGTCAAGACTACCGAGGAGTCACTCCATGGATGGATATTTTTGATGGCAATTTTATCTGAGAAGAGAGAATGACAATGTGCTACTGATTGCGCGAGAAGATGAGCAGCACAAAGCTCAAGGCGAGGAAGAGTTATTCTTTTGAGAGGAGAGACACGAGTCTTTGAGATTATTGGGCGAATGATGGTGTCACCATTAGACATCTGACAGCGGAAATATACGACAGCAGCATAGCCACTCTCTGACGCATCTGCGAAGCCATGTAATTCTACGGTGCATGACAAGGAAAACTGTAACGCTCGAGGAATAGAAATTTGAGATAAATATTGAGTATCGATTAGGAATGAATGCCATTTTTCGGCGAGGTTAGTGGGCAGGGGATCATCCCAGGATAAGCCTGTGGTCCATAGTAACTGCATAAAACATTTTGCTTGCATGATGCAGGGAGCGAGAAATCCACAAGGATCGTAGATTTTTGCTATGATGCTCAAGATCGAACGTTTTGATGGATGAGGGTCCATAGGGAAGTTAAGGTTGTAAGTGAAGCAGTCAGAGTGGGGAGACCAATGTAGGCCAAGTATTGTGAAGTGTGGCTGTTCAGAATCTTGGAGAAAGACGGGAGTCTCAAGATGCTCCTTGGGGAAAGCTTGTAGAAGACGATCAGAGTTGGAGACCCATTTACGTAATTCAAATCCTCCTTTTCGTAACAGGTTGACCAATTGATCTTGAAGTTTCAAGGCCGTTTCCTCAGTATCCGCACCAGTGATGATGTCGTCAACGTAGGTTTGCGTTCTTAGTACTTGCGCTGCCTCGGGAAAGTAGTTACCTTCGTCGTTAGCGAGTTGGTGAAGAGTCTTTATTGCTAGGTAAGGAGAGCTATTCATACCATACGTCACGGTGTTCAGCTGGTAGGTAGTAAGAGGTTGAGAGGAAGTTTCACGCCAAAGGATGAGTTGAAATTTTCTATCGTCAGGATGTATTTGGATCTGTCGATACATTTGACGAATATCACAAGAAAAAACAATATTGTGTCTTCTAAAATGCATAAGTATGTCACAAATATTGGATTGGAGCTTGCGTCCAGTAAGCAGAATGTCATTGAGAGAAACCCCTGTGCTTGTTTTTGCACTAGCATCAAATACTGTTCGGAGTTTGGTTGTACTACTACTCTCTTTAAGAACCCCATGATGAGGGAGAAAGTGGTGTGAAGAGGGAAGAAGGGAATCTTGACATATGGTCATATGGTCAAGAGAGATATAATCATCTATGAAGTCGTGGTAAAGCTGAGAGAAGCGGGGTTGGACTGCGAATTTTCGCTCGAGAGAGTGGAATCTGCGTTTAGCAAGCGGTTGAGACGCTCCAAGAGGGGGGTGAGCTTCCTTGAAGGGAAGACGAACGATGTATCGTCCTTCAGAGTCTCTGGTGTGCGTAGACTCGAAGTTTGCGTCGCAGAGTTCTTCTTCTTCAGTTTTCTTTTGACAATTTGGAAGTTCTTCCTGAGTCCAGAATCGCTGAAGTGAGGAATGAAGGTCAACATCATTAGATGAATGAAGGGAGATGGTGTGACTGATGAAATTTGGTGTGGAATTTCTTGGTATTTCACAGGGTGCAGAACCCATCACGATGTATCCAAAATGAGTTCCTATTACGTGGGGCATATGTTGGCCAAGAGAGTAATTTTCATGAGTTAGTAACTTAGGGAAGAGAGAGCAACCAAGCACGATATCAATGCGTCCTGGCAGGTGAAATGATGGATCAGCTAGACAAAACCGTTTAGTGAGCGATAACACTTCCGGAGAGACTGGAACACGAGGTAAGTCTACAGTCAATTTGTCTAAAATGAGCATTGGATGTTGCGGAGATATGAGAAATCCAGAAAGAGTTTCAAGATTGAGGTAAGTTTGTCCATTACTCTTAGCTGCATTTTGGCCAAGTCCAGAAAGTTGAACATTTGACTTGTAGCGTCGAGCGTTTAAAAGTTGAGCTGCTCGTTCAGTGATTAAGTCACACATGGAACCGGAGTCAAGTAAGGCACGGAACACATGAGATGTGCCTTGACCTGAAGTGACCTTTATCAAAAAAGTTCCTAAGAGTATAGTGGAGTTTTTAAAAGGTGACTGAGAGTGATCTTGTGAAGTTGAAGTCATTGAGGTTTGAGTAGGCTCATGTGGGTAACACACATTTGGATTGACAGGCTTAAAATGATTTTGATCAACAAGAGGTGCAGGGAAATGTAACAAAGTGTGATGTTTCTTGTTACATGTACGACATGAAGTTTGTGAATGGCAATCTTTGAGGTTATGATGGCCTAGACAGGAGACACAGCGATGATTTTCTTTGACGAGGGTATGTCGCTCATGCGGAGATTTATTTTGGAACACACTGCAGGCATAGATCTTGTGTTCGTTTGAGTTACATGCAAAACACTGCCAATGAGTCGGTTTTTTGATGCCTGTTGAGTGAGATGACTGATGGGGGGAAGTGTGGGTCGTGGCCATAGCAACGTTTCTTGAGCGAAAGTGTACTTGCATTTGTGTAGTGTCTTTGGGTGCATGAGCAAAAGTGTTAGTAACTTTATTCAGTGTGGGGGCGCTGTGTAGATTTGCATCCTCAGCCTGAGAGCATTCAGTGTTCAGATATTTGGTTATATCTTTGACCTCGGGAAGTGAGTGAGAATTCGGCTGATTTTCGGTTGAAGAGCGAAACATTTCAAGCTTTTTGCGTAAATCAGCATCCATCTTACGCAGGAGCAGTGCGGAGAGAAGGGGATTATTATTTGTAATGTCACATTCCAAAGCTTTTAAAGCTTGCGTGTGTTCAGTGAAAAAATTTACAAAATGGCGAAGTCCTGTTATAGTAAATGCATTAATGGTAGGAAGGTCCAAAATGTGATTGAGGTGCAAAGATTGTAAGCGGCGTTCATTGTGATATCTATCACGGAGGAGATTATATGCAACCAAATAGTTAGCTTCAGTAAGATTCAAACGTTTGACTAAGTCGAGGGGTTCTCCGTTAAGTACACTTAAGAGGTACTGAAATTTCATGACACTGGAAAGCGATGCGTTGTGGTGTATTGCAGTATCAAACAAATTTATAAAACTTGTCCAAGTTAGTGGGTCACCGGAGAATTTTTGTAAATCCAATTTTGGAAGGCGTACTGCTTGCGAAATCGGTGTTTGGTGAAGAGAAACGGAAGAAGAGTCACTTAAGATAGCAGAATTTGAAGGTGCAGGATGGGACATTAAGAACTCAATAGTAGCCACGATATGAGAAAATAAACTTTCAATTTCATCCAGGTCTTGAGACAATGTCTGGTCAGAGATAGGATCCTCTTCTAAGATTAAAACCCGTTGCACATTGTTGTCGAATTCTTCTTTTCTTTTACGAATTTCATTTAAATGAGCATTTAGTTGTTTAATTTGAATAGGGGTGAGTTGTTCCGTTGAGGTAGAGTATTCATCAACAGTATCTTTAAGCTTATTAAAACGAGTTTTAATTAGAGATGTTGAGCGAGTGTATGTGGATGACTTAAAATCAGAAGTTTTAGGAGCCATTGTAGTAGTAGAACACAAAATTTACCAGCAGCACACACAATATAAAAAGGTCTTGAGTAAACACAAAATCTCAGTTTGAAGTCAAAACAATGAATTGTACATCAAAGATACAGATAATAAGTTTCTTTCAATAAAGTCTTTAACTAAAAGGAGGAATGTATAGTCTATTAAGTGCACAAAAAATTAATAAACTTGAGCTTGTTTGATTGATTGGCACCAAAAATATAGTATTAAAGTAAGTAAAGAGTTCATTTCATATCGTGATCTGAGTCCAAAAAGATTATAATCGGGTAAACTTCAAAAACAATAAATTAATAGTGGACTGTAAGGGAACTGAGTAGAACATTTAGATTATAAATGGGGTAATGTTAACAACTAATGAATATAGTTACCAGGTTTTCATCCGGCTGCGAATTAGGACCAAATGTTGGATTGGGAAATGGTAAAATTAAGATTATAAAAAAGAAACCATGTTGACTTGAGCAATAAAAACAATGTAATAAAAAAGTAAACAGGATTAAATAATAACATATGATAAATAAATATACACATGTTAAATGCAGATCAAGGGGGAAAAGTCTTGAACACCTACCTTTACTTTTGAAAAAAAAATTGTATCCAATATGGCGGATCCAAGATGGCGGCCAAAAATGTTTATTCAGTCAAAATGAAGTACTTAATACACTACAATGATCTGACGTGGTCCGAAGTTGATATCTTAAGAAATGTAGAAAAAAGTAGGGGGGGAACTCATTTAAAATTCACCTTGTATAGTTCCATTGCCTTCAAACTGTTAAAAACAAATGTGCATAGTCCTGAGTTAAAAATTATCAATACTTTTAAAATTTTTAAATCAATTTAACTTGTGTTGGAAAATAAAGATTGTTTGCCTTGAGCGAGTAGACTTTATTTAGCACAATTCAAGTAATGAAATTCATAAGTAGAGTTAAGTCTAGAGAATGAAAAAATGATTAAAACCAGTCAACATAAACAAATAAGTACCTGGGGACCGAGCTTTGCTCGGGGAAAGTTATTAGTTTACTCTGAAAAGTATTGCAGATACATTAATCCACTCCCAATCTCCACACTGCTCACCTTCACTACTTACTTCACCACTCCCTACGTCGACCTGTTTGCCCTCCTTCCCTATACCATTTTAGAATTGCAGATACATAAATGCCACAGACAGTTCCCACACTCTGCACTGCTAGCATTACTACTTCCTACACCATTTCCTACGTCATGGACCTGTTTTCCTCCCTTTTTGTAGCGTTTTAGGGTTGTAGATACCTTAATGTAAATCCCATTAACAGTTCCCAGACTCCAGACTGCTCACCATTACTACTTCCTTCACCACTTCCTACGTGGACCTGTTTCTCTCCCTTCCAATGGCATTTTAGGATTGCAGATATTCTAATCTAATCGTCATAAACAGTTTCCACACTCCAGACTGCTCACCTTTACTACTTCCTTCACCACTTCCTACGTCGCGGACCTGTTTTTCTCCCTTCCAATGGCATTTTAGGATTGCAGATACCCTAATCTAATCGTCATTAACAGTTCCAACACTCCGGGCTGCTTGCCTTTACTACTTCTTTCACCTCTTCCTACGTCGCAGACCTGATTCCCTCCCTTCCCATAGCATTTTAGGTTTGTAGATAACTTGATCTAATCGTTATTAACAGTTCCCACACTCCGGACTGCTCACCTTTACTACTTCCTTCACCACTTCCTACGTCACAGACCTCTTTCCATCCCTTCCCATAGGATTTTAGGATTGTAGATTCCTTAATCTAATCGTCATAAACAGTTTCCACACTCCAGACTGCTCGCCTTTACTACTTCCTTCACCACTTCCTACGTCGCGGACCTGATTCCCTCCCTTCCCATAGCATTTTAGGTTTGTAGATAACTTGATCTAATCGTTATTAACAGTTCCCACACTCCGGACTGCTCACCTTTACTACTTCCTTCACCACTTCCTACGTCGCGGACCTGATTCCCTCCCTTCCCATAGCATTTTAGGTTTGTAGATAACCTGATCTAATCGTTATTAACAGTTCCCACACTCCGGACTGCTCACCTTTACTACTTCCTTCACCACTTCCTACGTTGTGAACCTGTTTCCCTCCCTTCCCATAGCATTTTAGGATTGCAGATTCCTTAATCTAATCGTCATAAACAGTTTTCACACTCCAGACTGCTCGCCTTTACTACTTCCTTCACCACTTCCTACGTCGCGGACCTGTTTCCCTCCATTCCCATAGCATTTTAGGATTGTAGATTCCTTAATCTAATCGTCATAAACAGTTTTCACACTCCAGACTGCTCGCCTTTACTACTTCCTTCACCACTTCCTACGTCGCGGACCTCTTTCCATCCCTTCCCATAGGATTTTAGGATTGCAGATTCCTTAATCTAATCGTCATAAACAGTGTCCACACTCCAGACTGCTCGCCTTTACTACTTCCTTAACCACTTCCTACGTCGCGGACCCGATTCCCTCCCTTCCCATAGCATTTTAGGATTGTAGATAACTTGATCTAATCGTTATTAACAATTACCACACTCCGGACTGCTCACCCTGACTACTTCCTTCACCACTCCCTATGTCGTAGACCTGTTTGCCCTCCTTCCTTATACAGTACTATTTTAGAAATGCAGATACATAAATGCCACAGACGGTTCCCACACTCTGCACTGCTAGCCTTACAACTTCTTTCCCCATTTCCTACGTCATGGACCTGTTTTCCTCCCTTCCCTTTATATTTTAGGATTGCAGATACCTTAATTTAATCGTCATAAACAGTTCCCACACTTCAGACCCCTTTACCTCCCTTTACTACTTCCTTCACCACTTCCTATGTCGTGGACGTGTTTTCCTCCCTTTCCATAGCATTTAAGGATTGCAGATACCGTAATCTAATCGTCATAAACAGATCCCACACTCCACACTGCTACCCTTGACTATAGAATCGAGTAATCTTCAGCATAATCTTTGCTCAATAGTAACAACTGATGTTTTTCCTTTTGTACTGTATTTTGTTTTGCTAGTATACTGTGGATAGACAAATTACGAAGTCTTTTGTTTACTTTTTCCTTGTTATTTAATTCAGCCAACATGGTTACCTAGCAACCCATAAGACTAATGTTAAAAAAATGTGATTTTCAGTTTCATTTTTCTACGTAATTAGATTTTTATTGGCAGTTCTAATTGCAGTAAACTCGTTTTTAGGCCAGAAATAAACTATATACAACATTTGAAGAAAATCGTCGGAGCCGTTTTCGAGATCTTGGTGCAAGCATACATACATACAAGCAAACTTTGCTCGTATTAGAGTATAGGATTAATAATAATGTCCAACAACAGCTGGGAATATTTTCTATCGCAGCTTCTTTTCTAAATTTGTGGGGTGTAAGTCATAACAGGTATAAACCTTTAATCGACTAAGACCCTGACTTTACATTGACCCTGCTTTATAGTTATGCGCCAATGACGATTGCTTGAACACATTTTAATACTGCATTGAAATATTCGACACACTACTACTAACTGTAATTAATTATTCCATCAAACTAACAGAATGTGTACTAAGGTTCTCATGACAATGTTTGATCCTATGAATTTGCAGCTAACATTACTTGTAATACATCTATTAAATAAAAAAATTTTAATAATTTATCAGATATGTGGATATTTCTTCTTAGTTAGTGTAATATTGTTCCATGAAATTCCATTACACCGATCACATAACCATATTTGGACCACTGTTACTGGGCAGAATGAAACGACACAACAAAAGGCGTATTAGAGATGTAAATGAAACTTTCGTAAACTAGAGTTTGTTAAAAATGAAAATGCATTTACTATTCAATGAATCAACGTCTTAAAATATCTTGGCTAATCTGAAACGTATTGTGGTTACGCATGATCAATTTCTTTGTAACCGTGCTAATTATCACCAGAAAATATATAAGAAATGTCAAAGTCGATGCCTTCACACAACTGTGGAACGACGGTCTGTTGGTCTAGTGATTGGACCCTCCACTGACCCTGGGGCGACCGTCCACCTACCATCGACCTTGGCGTACAAGATCAAGGATGTTTTACTACCTCTATTACTGGTCTAGTAGTTGGACCCTCCACTAACCATGGGGCGACCGTCCACCTACCACGGACGCCG